AAACTTCTTACAATGCACTGCAGAACTAGTCATAAGAAAAAAATATCACTTGAAAATCCTGTAACAATGAACTTAATTGAGTGTACATTCAGGAAAGAATTATTGGATTTTCCTATGTCTGGACTTCCAAGAAAAATTAATATACCAGGCATCGCAGTCAGCCAGTTTATGTAGACAAATCAGACCCATTTCTTGCCTTTTAGAAACATATTCTGGCAGGAATTTTAGGACAATTGTGAACAAGCAAAAAAGTTTTATCTGAACAGTTTTCTTCTGGTTATCTTGACAACTTTCAGCAGCTTCATGGCACATTGGACATATATAAACTAAATATGAAATAGTTGCTATTTAAATAGCTGCTGAAGATAGGCAGACTAAAGAAATATATTGTTAATGTTTTGGGCATGATTTGAAATTCTTAAAATTCTTAGTTGCTCACAGCTAAATTTGCTTTCAACATGGCTTTTTTCCTTGCCCAATATCTTTGGATTTTTGCAGAGCTCAGGTTTTAAAAACAGTAATTTTAAAGTACTAGCAGTTAGGATTTAATGACTTCATTGGAATTTTTGTTTTATAGTTCTCTGAGACTATTTTTTGAAACAGCTATATTCTCTTAAAAGGATAAGAATAACCAAGTGATAGAATCTAAATTTGGGGGTTTCATTTACTGTGTATCATTCATTTTTTCAGTTTTAGTTCTTTTCTTTGACATTAGAAAATTGCAAAGGCAATAAGATCTGATAGACTATCTTTCCAGCTATGCCGTTGTCTCCTTGCATTTTGCTGAAATGGCTGGTGCTTTGATCTCTGACCAAAATTACTGGTGTAGGCATAATGTAGTCAGTCCATTTGAAGCAAGAATGTGGCACTTAGTCTTGCTTTTCCAAATGGCCTTTCCAAATGAAAAATCAGTCTATTATGTATTCTTGTTGATGTTGGATATAGAACAATTTTTAGTTATTATATCATAAGAATATATTAATAGAACATATTCTCCCCATTAGTCCTTAACCATTAAGAATACTATTATATCTTAAAGTTTTATAGATTGACCTAATATTGTAGATCCAGAATTTGAGATATAAAAGAAAATTAGGCATGGCTTTTCATCAAGTCGGTGAATCACAAGTTTCCATCAAAACCTTTTTATTGTTGTTTGGATTGGGACAAATGTGCTGGTTGACATAAGAAGCTCTTGTTGTTGAGATCTAAGTGACCACATTATCTCAAAGGATGAATGACTCCATCCTCCTCGAGTCTTGCAGGCAGTGCCACAGAGCACAGAGAGGAGTCTTAAATGTCAGGCTGCATCAGCCCTCTAAAACCTGACCCCCAAAGTTCTGCTTTTAACAATCCCAGCTTGTCTGCCTCTAAACCAGTCAGTGGACACTGTTCCTTATGGACACTTTTCCTTGGGAACCAGGGCCCTGGTCAGCGACCGGCATGCTTTTTGGGCTGTGGTTATTCCCCTATTGACTGTTCTTGCACTAGATTGTGGTTTTTCCTCTGGTTTTCTTGATAACTTTCAGCAGCACATGGCACATTGGAAATATATAAACTAAATATGAAGCCCCACCCTGCCGCTTAAAGCACTATGGTTGAAGGAACCAGTTCTTTTATTTTTCTTTCCTGAAGGTCTTTACTCCCCGCTAGATGTCACCCACTAGCAGAAGCTGCTCTGTTACCAGGGGATCAGTGCTCTTTCTGTGCAAGCTGCTCTACGGTGGAGGATGGTCTCCCCAGAGCTGTGGCTAACCTGAAAAGGATAGTAACTTATTTTTTGAGTGCTAAGTCATACAGCTAGTAAGTAGCGGAGCTGGGGTTCAAACCCAGGTAGTCCAGCTCCACACACATTCCAGGTGGAGTAGCCAAGTTCTTTTAACAGCATCTGACAAGAAGAAAATTGTCTCTCTATGGTACACTCCTAAGAGTAGTACCTTTCAGGAGAGTCAGACTATCACATATCTCTCCCCCCTGCTTTTTCCACCTCTAAAAGCAGGCTTCATTATGTTTACTTAGGTTTCACATCCATTCACAGGGGAACAGACTCAGTCCTCAGTGAATCTTGAAAGATTACTGGTTCATTATTCACACTTTTATTAGTGCCTCTAATTCTGTTTGTAGAATGGTTCTTACTAAACACTCCCTTTGGTACATACCAGTACATCCACCTGTGCCTGTGCAAATGTTTGGTCCTACAAGTTCTTAAATAACCTGATACCCAGACAAATGACTCCAAAGATGATCTAGAATGGGGAAAATAGACACCTTCATGGTCAGCAGTCTTTTAGTCACAGTCTTTAGGCCTTTGTAGACTCACTGGTTGCTCTCTCTCCTGATCATTATCCCAGAGAAATGAAGATTTACGTTCACATACAAACAAATGCTTGTAGAAGGTTTAATAATGGCCAAAACCTGGAGTCTGGTGATTAAGGTCTAATTGAGGTCTTGGAAGTTTTCTTGGTAGGTTTCTAGTAATTTAGTCTAATGAATTTGTTTAATATTAATATGAAATCACACAAATCTGTAATTTGTTCAAGTGTATTTTCTTTTTTTTTTTTTTTGAGACGGAGTTTCACTCCTGTTACCCAGGCTGGAGTGCAATGGCGCGATCTCGGCTCACTGCAACCTCCGCCTCCTGGGTTCAGGCAATTCTCCTGCCTCAGCCTCCTGAGTAGCTGGGATTACAGGCGCGTGCCACCATGCCCAGCTAATGTTTTGTACTTTTTGTAGAGACGTGGTTTCACCATGTTGACCAGGATGGTCTCGATCTCTTGACCTCGTGATCCACCCGCCTCAGCCTCCCAAAGTGTTGGGATTACAGGCGTGAGCCACCGTGCCCGGCTCAAGTGTATTTTCTTATGGGCCATTGTCATATCAAAAGAAAATGACAGGCCAGGTGCAGTGGCTCACACTTGTAATTTCAGCACTTTGGGAGGCCAAGGTGGGTGGATAACCTGAGGTCAGGAGTTCAAGACCTGCCTAGCCAACATGGTGAAATCCCGTCTCTACTAAAAATACAAAAATTAGCCAGGCATGGTGGGACACGCCTGTAGTCTCATCTACTGGGGAGGCCAAGGCAGGAGAGTCACTTGAACCCGGGAGGTGGAGGTTGCAGTGAGCCAAAATCGTACCACAGCACTCCAGCATGGGTGACAGAGTAAGACTGTCTCAAAAAAAGAAAAGAAGAAAAGGAAAGAAAGAAAATAGCAGAAGCATTGTCTTTCTTGTGGATTTAAGAGAACATTAGGATTATTTGGCGGCATAACCATATGAACTATAATTCTATCTCCAGATGAAAACCAAAATTTATTCTTTTTCTATAATGTGAACTCTACCACATTCAGAATAACCCACTTGCACCATTTTAATTAACATCGAAAATGGAAGCCAAATCATACATTAGAGACAGACTGTACTCATTAAAAACTCAGCTGTAGTGGTCAGGTTAAGAGAAGAAAATACTAGGCTTTGGGTAAATACAGAGTATTTGTCTAAGGAAGTCAAATTAAGTGGCTCCATGATAGGAAGTTTGTCTAAACTGATACTGTAGTATCGCAAAAGTAGGAAATGAGGAGCAGAGGTATTTTGTGTATCACCGTGTCCTCATGGCATTTACTGACACTGGTTCTCACATACAGTTTGTCAGCCATGTCATCAGTTCCAGCCTAGCACCGATAGCCCTTATGACACAACCTAACTTACGTATTGTTGATGGAGCTTTGTAAAAGACCATTAATTATTTCCCTTTATAAATTTGTTCACAGGGATTTGATAATGGTGAGCATGGATGGCCAGTAAAAAGTTAACCTGTATTTCAACCTGACCAGGAATGTGGGATTTGGACTTGATAGCATGGTACCTGGCACTTTTCAGGCACACAGTAAATGTTTGTTTTATGAACGATTATTGCTATTTTTGTGGTCCTTACTGCCTGCTCATGACCCTGCTTCCACAGTCCCTCCACAGAAGAATTCAGTGGGCAGACAGGGTGCCCTCATAGTCTCTCTCAGTGCAGAGGGGTGCAGCCTGGGTGGAAAAGCACCACAGTTCAGGGGAAGCAGGGTCAGGCGACGTAAAGAAGATCACAGATAGATTTGGTCCAGGTTTGCTTTCACACTGAAGAGACAGGGAAGGGAACAGATTTAAAGAGATTTAAGTATCAGCATTCAAGGTAGATTAGAAATATTTTTTCTTAAATGCATCATTGTGGTTTAAATGTAAGTATCAGCTTTTTAAACTTTTATTTTTTTCCTATTATGAATAGTATTTCATTTCTAAAAATGCTTTTGTCGAATAATCTGGGATCTAGCCTCCATTTATAATGTGAAAAATATGCATTCTGAATTCCAAGTAATGACTGAGAACGAATTTTTGGAGCCCAATTTGTTTTTTACTGATGGCACAGGACTTGATTGTTATTTTTTTATCTTTCTGTCTTGCTTTCTTGTTTGTGGGCCACGGAGCAGCTTCTGTTAAGCTCTTCTTTGCTTCCTTTTCACTACTTTTTTTTTTTTTTTTTTTTTTTTTTTTTTT